GCGGTTGGGTGTGGAGGGGTGGAGAGAGCGGGACAGTCGAGGCTAGGGAGAGGCCGGTGGTGGGGAGGCGGGTGGGTGTGGAGGGGTGGAGAGAGCGGGAAGGTGGACCGAAATGGAGACCGGAGAGATGGGGATGGCTGGGTGGACGGATAAAGGGGTGGGAGGATGGGTACAGGGGTGGGTGAATAAACAGATGGACGGGGCGGGCAGGATGGTGATGAGGGGACGCACAGGTGAGCAGACCCCGTCCCCTGTAGAACACAAGCTCCACTGGGAGGGCAGCGTCTCGGCCGGCAGACCTTCCAGGGCAGATGTTCAGTATGGGGGCAAGGTCAAGAGGAGGCATCCGGACAAGAGGGGCGGGGAGCCCACGGGGCTGGGCACCGAGTTCCCATTCCCGCTCCTTCCCAGGGAGACAGCCACGACCCTGCTGCTGGGAGGGCGTCTGCAGTGCCTCGGCGGGCACTTCCGGCTGCACGCTGCAGGTGGGCCGTGCCCAGGCCTGCCCCACCCCACCCACCTCGTGGGAGTAGACGATTGCAATCAGCCCGGTGAGCAGGCAGCAGAAGAGGGTCGCTAGCACCGACTCCATCATGTAGTCCTTGGGCAGGGGCCTGTGCTCCACTGAGGTGGGCTGTGGCAGACCGGCCATGGGGCTGTTGTACTGCAGGACAGAGCCACAGAGGTGAGGGCCACCGCCTCCAGGAAGCCCAGTGAGGACACACCAGCCAGGCCCTAGGACAGTGTGTCCCCTGTCCCTGCTCAGGCTGCAGGTCACTGGGGGCTGGGTCAGGGCCCCCTTCTGATCCTCCCTCCACAGCCCTGGCCCGTCAGCCCCCAGGGTCCAGGAAGCACAGCTGTCATCAGCCCTTCCTTGGGGACTCTCAGTTCCCCCACAGGGTTTTTGGGTTTTTTTGGTGGTTTTTTTTTTTTTTTTTTGAGAGTTTTTTGCTATAGGGTGTGTGTGCTCACCAGAAAGAGACAGAGAGACAGAAAGCGAGAAATCACCCCCCCCCGGGGGGATGGTCACGCTGCAATCTCTTCTTCTCCATTCTCCTCTTGGGATCTTGGGCACACACGCACACGCGCCCGGCATGAGTTTAAGCCACCAGGCCCGGGACTCGAACCGTGGTTGACTACATGGGAGTCCAGTCACATAGCCATTATGCCATCTGCTGGTCCCAGGGTTTTTGTTTGGTCACTTGTAGCATGGTGGTTAAAGGCTCTGGACTCCCACATGGCCAACAGTGGTTCAAGTCTCAGACCTGGTGGTTTCCTTTCTCTCTCTCGTCAAATTGGAAAATAATAATAAGTTAAAAACATTCTTAAAAAAAAAAAAAAAGGAAGAAGAAAGAGAAAGGAAGAAAGAAAAAAAGAAAAAAGCTGATCAAGCCGCCTCCAGCCCAACGACCCCGGGCACCCTCACCTTGGGTCCACCTTCCTCCCTGCCTCCACTCCCAGCCAAATGAGCCACCAGTTTCCCAGAACAGCCAGGGCCCCGCACCCTGCACCCTGTGCTGTGCCCTCTGCTCAGAGCGCCCTCCTATTCATCCGTCAGAACCCAGCTTGGATGGCCCCACTATGGTAAGCCCTGGGGCAGGGCGCCCTTCCTCTCCTGCGGGGTCCCACGGGGCCGCTCCTCACCGGGGTGCACCCATCACAGGCCTGCGGGTGACTGAGGGAGGGAGGGAGAGGCCGCGCACTCACCATCGGGAAGGGGAAGGCGGCCCCGGTGGCAGCAGGCGCGGGATAGACTGGGCGGCGGGTAGAGCGCGGAGGCGGCGGGCGCGGGCTGGAAGAGCATGGGCACCTGCGGGAAGGGCGGGTAGAGCAGAGCAGGCGCCTTGGGGTCAGGTGGCGCGTAGGGCGGGGGCTCCTCC